GTTAGAATGGTATAAGCTACAATCATACCAAGTTTCATGCTTGTAACACAAAGTGCACAATTCAGTGAAAAAAGTGCACTTATCCGCTGGGCTATATGGGGTACTCTTGATCAACGCTTGCGCTAGTGTAATCCGCAACCTGAGACACTTCAAGAACTGCACACAGCACTTCAGCAAAAGTATCAAAACATTCCTCAGGACAGCATTCGCATCTTTCTTTGTTCACCGCTGCCAAACTGGTGGTCACACCAGATACTGACATTTTACTCTGACCAAGTGGCTTTAATAGCCCTCTGTGGTTTTACCAAACACTCTCTGGATAATCGTGTTTTGGAAATTTGTAAAGTGATGATTTTACTGTAACTGAGCAATGATGTCATGTTTGAATCAGTTATATCCACTCAGTAAGTAAACTCCAAAACAGCATGTCAAGTTTCTTTTTTTCAGGAGTATATAAATATACGGTGTTTTGACTGTTTGTCCGTTGATAGTAAACGGATAGTATTCAGACAGTGTGTCGGTGGACTGGGCCTACGGATGGTGTTCAGACGAAATGTCTCTGAGTTGTGTAAATGGATGGTGTTAGGAGAGTTTGTAAACAGATTGCATAAATGGGATGTATTTAAGTCGGACTGTTAATTGATAGCAGTCGTTCTGATTATAAATAGATTATATTTAGACAGTGTAAATATGAAGTGAATATTTGGATAATATGTAAACAGGGTATGTATGGGGTGCTTACTTGGATAATATTTAGACAGAGTAAATATGGGGTGTTTATTTGGACAATTTATAGACAGGGTAGATATGGTTGGTTGGTTTGTTGTTTAACGCCGCACTCAGCAATATTCCAGCTTTATGGCAGCGATCTGTAAATAATCGAGTCTGGACCAGAGAATCCAGCATCGATCTACACAGTTTGTATACGATGACATGTGTCAACCAAGTCAGCGAGCCTAACCACCCGATCCCGTTAGTCACCTCTTACGACAAGCATGGGTTGTTGAAGACCAATTTTAACCGCGGTCTTCACGAATTTGTATTCAAGGACAATGTCGGTTAGCTTGTAGATGTGTTGTGCACACGGATAGTGTGTTCACAGTACGTAGAGGGAGCATATTAAGCCTCATGTCGCAATGGTCGAACGCCAAGGGAATGTTGTGCTGTCTAAATAGTTGAAGATTGATGAACTGGTGACCCAGTCATGGGCATCATATACTATCCCAAAAAAGAATTTGTATCTTTAAAAATTTATTAATTACCAACTGTGTTCAAACACTCGTCAAAATATGTAACAAAAGTGTTGATAACATGATTTTACACTATTGCACAAGTGAAAAATCGACTTTACCTGAAAATAATGATCTTGATGATATTTCCTTAAAATTAAAAAAGCATCGCAACAACAGAAATCACCTTCCGGTTCAAATTGTGCAGTAAAGAGCACGCACTGTCTGGCTATAAAAATCCAGATTACTTTCGGAAATCGACATTGGTTTTGAAGGAGTTTCAAGGTCAAATCACTACGCCACGTCTTGACGCTGCGACACGGAACATCGCCATTGAAAGAATGCACGCTGGAGATTACCAATTTTCTGTTGCCAGGCGTCTGAATGTTATTCTGAGCACGATAACAAAGTTTGTAGCTCGCTACAACCAAACAGGTATAACAAATGACCATCCCCGTACAGGCAGACCTCGAGTCACCACTGCATCCCAAGATCGGTACATCCGGGCACTACATTTGCGTGATCGTACTGCCACGGGTGAGAGCACAGCAGCCAGGGTGCCTGGACTTCGGAGGATACCTGCTCAATCTGTACGGAACAGGTTGAGAGAGATTGGACTGAGAGCCAGGAGACCCGACGTCGGACCATGCTACGTGGTCACCATTGTGCTCAACGTCTCCGTTGTCAAAAATTATCCACTTGGTTGTATAGACGTTACCTTCTTCTAAACTGATGTAAAAATTCATGTACTAAAGTTTATTTGTGGACGAGTTATACGTGTTTGAAACAGATTTCTGGGTTATGCGTTTCTTTTTTTGAATAGTATAGTTTCGAGATCCACCATTAAAGTAATTAATGACGTAAATACAACCTAGTAAACATTTTCCGTCACCTTTCCTATATATAGTGATGATACAAGATTTTCCAGTAGGTGTGACCTCATCATACCATATCGATGACACAAACGGAAGCAAAGACATGTCAAGTGTTCGCCTAAACAAAACACATATGGTAAAATTAAAAATAGAGTATTGCAAAGAACATAATTTTGGTGACCGATCCGACAAACTTAAAAATATCATTCGCTTTGAATTTGTCATTCGGAGCAGAAACAGCTCAGCAAGAAGACAAAGCACAATTCGTGTCCATATGGATGCCTCCTTCTTGCCTCAAACATGCACACACTTAATAATAATAATTGTGTATATTTCAGATTATGCCAACCACCCTTGTATACGTGAGTGTGAGGAGGGAGCGGCCCCGATGACCTGTGTCTATAACTTCACAGTGGAATACTACTTCGTCTTGACCAAAGCCTGCTATGATTGCCCGTACAACGTCACTGACTGCTACCGGCCGCACTGTGTTGCTGCTGACGGCGTCGGTAGGGCGATCATCACCACAAACAGGATGCTACCAGGACCTGCCGTACAGGTAAGGGATGAGGATCTGGCAACTAAATCATATTTTGTTTTGTTTGTTGTTATAACGACGCATTCAGCAATATTCCACCTATATGGCGGCGGTCTCTAAATAAATCAAGTCTGGATCAGTGATCAACAGCAAGAGCATCGATCAGCGCTATTGGGTTACGATGACTTGATCTCGTTGGTCGCCTTTTACGACATACATGGGTTGATGAAGACCAATTACCTCCGTTGACACATGTCATCGTATCCTACCTGTGTAGATCGATGCTCATACTGTTGACCACTGGATTGTCTGGTCCAGACTCGATTATTTACAGACCGCCGTCATAAAGCTGGAATATTGCTGAGTGCGGCACAAAGCAACAAACCAGTCAAACAGACAAATGAGCACCTCTCCACAATCTATCACTGTTGCATGCTCATGGGATATTGTGGATATTGTGTAAATAGTTTGGACAGAAATATAGTTTTAATCCTTGACTCTATGAATATCAAATGAAGTATAATGCTTATTTTTTCAAGGTGAATATGTTTCGTTTAAAAGACAGAATCAAAAACATGCTTTGTGGTTCAAACATGTAGGACAATATGTTTATACAATGAAATGCCTGGTTATGTCGAAGTAAAAGCTGGGTTCCTGCGAATTCGGATAACTCGGATAACTCAAAGTGGTTACGTAGGTCCCTCCAAACTTCGACACTCTCCAAAACCACGACGGCATGGTCCGACGACGCGAAAAAGTCCGCAAATCTGACGATATAGGCCGTGGGCCAAACCCCAACATTGTGTCAAAGTGCTTCAACATATCTGGTGAATACAAAGTTAGGGTTTTATAATTAAGTTTCTTATTTATAAAGCCTACTATTTCTTGTTAAATCACTTGCATATTAAGTATTTAGAAGCCTTAGATTGGAAAAGTCTAAAGCAGTGAATCACCATGGATGCAAGGTAATTTTGACCAATCAGAATACAGGAAGCAGATGGTTGTGCGGTACTTCAACATGGCCGCGGCCATGGCTGTGGAATGTTTATGTCACATAACTGACAATAAATCTGTGATTTACGTCCATTTGCGGATATAACATGGGCACATGTGAGTGTTTCATGTATAGTGAAAAATATGATAAATATGAAATTTATTTGTGTCATTCATATCAATTATATTGAAGTAATCAATTAAATCAGTTGCATAGTTGAATGTAATGTATGATATTGTTTGTGTCAGAGATATATATGACATTTGTTATGTTTGTGATTGCACTTTCTTGGTAAAGTACAGATTCCAGTATTTTTCCTCAGACTCTGAGGGTGTAGGTTCGAATCCCGAATGGGACTCAACCCAAGGGACCACGTTCTAAATGGCAGTGTGTAATCGCAGAGATTTAATTTGTTTCTTGGACAGTACTCTTTTTGAATTTTTCATTTTCATGACCGGTCGTGTAATGATCAACACCCTGAAAAAAAAGTTTAATTGGTGAAATTTTTAATTCAAGAAATTGGAATTTTAACAAATATTGTCTAGTTATGAAATTATGAAAATATTTCTGATGTTTCTACAACATTACTATTGCACAAGTACCATAAAAAGATGTTACGAACATGCCAAGGTCAAGGACGTATAATCAGAATCCTGTCAGGAGGTAGGCGACCCTTCTTTCAAGAGCTGTGAAACATTAATGTGCTACTATTTTTGCAAGAAAAGCTTTGATTCATCTTAACAAGCACATCCTGGGGGTCACTTTGATATAAAGTTCTTGTATTCACCAAGTATTTTGAAGCACTCTCCTATTTCTGGAGGCCCTACAGATTTCGGTCCACGGCCTAATGCATGTTGCTTCCGCTGCCATCGATCTTGAAGTCGCCATGGACTTGGCGTAGATCGAGGCTAATGATCGATCTTCTTTATCTACTGGGCTGTGAGGTAGCCCTGTGGTTAATGTGTTCTCTGTTCACACTGAAAGCACGAGCTCGTCAAACTTCTATAATATCTATAATCGTTGTCAAATGCTGCACTCAGCAATATTCCAGCTATTTGATGGCGGTCTGTAATCAATCGAGTCTGGACCAGACAATCCATTGATCAACAGCACGAGCGTCGATCTACACAGTTGGGATACGATGACGTGTGTCAACCAAGCCAGCGAGCCTGACCACCCGATACTGTTAGTCGCCCCTTAAGACAAGCATGGGTTACTGAAGGCCAATTCTGAAACGGATCTTCACGGGTACTTGTCAAACTACTCCACATGGATTATATGACTGACAGGTACATTAAGTTGGTGTTGTCTATGTCACGCACAAGACATTCTATATTCACTTATTTCAGTTTTTAGTGATTCAACATGTAAAGTCTACATTAGCTCGTGTTGAGAATAGCATTAAACCTGAGAAAACACAAATGCGATCCTTTCAATGGTTACAAAGAGCCGACAGACCTCCGATATGAATATTGCAACAGCTGCTGCGGTTTCGAGAGACACGCGTTCGTTGCACCGGTTGATAACGGACCATAAACCCTTCACGGGCGGTCTGTGGCGCAGTGCAGAACGTGTTCCCGCATCACGCTGCAGTCCCGGGTTGAATCCCCGCTATGTGTGAAGTCGATTTTTGGTGCCCTGAGAGATGTTACTAGATTATTGCTCAAGTTGTCTAAAACCTGAGTCATTCATTGAACACACTCACAGATATATGCACGCACACACTCACGCACGCACGCACACTCCCTCCCTCACTCACTCACAAATACATACATACATACATACATACATACATACATACATACATACATACATACATACATACACACAGGGGCTTGTAACGCTAAAAACTGCCATCAAGGTATATACTGTCACTGACGGGGTCTTGGTACTATATAAAAGGATCCTTGTCTTGTGTCCCCCGCCTTATTGTTGTTAGAATATTGCTAAAAGCGGCGTAAAATTATCTCACTCACTAATTCAGTGCAGAATGAATCTCCCACACGCCACAATCCGATCACCAAATACAGCTAAAAGCGGGGTCAAATATAACCAGCTCAGGTCCCATGTCTCTCTCCATGAGGTTGAATTTCCTTCTCCAGGTCTCCATCATTAGAGGTGATCATTTAGTGATGGACTTATCATTCATCTATGTATTAGACGCATCCATATGCAACACCTTTACCTGCAAACTAATTGGCGCTTTCTGATTCACACAAATATTACATTCCTGCACATTGTCTAAAGTTACTGCATTGACCTATATCATGTCATGAACATCTGTTATTTACAGCATACCATAGAAGAAAAGAGGATTCCATACATAATATATAAAATAATGGAGACATAAAATATTTATAGCAAAATATCATATGAAATATGATAACAGACCTCACACAGACAATGACATCGAGTTCTATATTCAAATATGTAGCGCACACTCTGTTGGCTGTGTTCACGTCAACCATTTCTCTTTCCTCAAGGTTTGTCAGGACGACATGATCGTTGTCAACGTGCACAACAAGATGGAGGGTGCCGAGGGGGTGACCATCCACTGGCATGGCGTCTTCCAGAAGGGTTATCAACATCATGACGGAGTCAGCATGGTCACCCAGTGTCCGATAACAGCCCACTCCACGTTCCAGTACAGGTGCGTGGTATTGTACACAAGATGAGTATTCGTCAAGTTCCCTTTGGATTGACCCCTGTCTTATTGTACAGTGAGAACTGGCTACGAGCTCCGTAGCCGATTCGTTGTTACGTAGTGTAATATACATGGTGTAGCTTTTGTTTCATTGTTGTTAATTACCCAGCAATATTCAAATAATATGCAGGTGGTCTGTGAATAATGGAGTCTGGGCTAGACAATCCAGTGATTGACATCATGAACATCAAGCTTAGTAACTGGTGTAAGGCATGCATGAACTGAGTCAACGACCCCAACCAACCGACCGTTAGTCGCCTCTTACGATAAGAATGTGTTACTGAAGGATCTTCACGGGTCAGATTCTGCAGTCACGTGCAACCTTCAGCTATGTGTCAGTGTATAGTGTTACCTCACTCCAAGTTCAAGTATAGGTCTGTTGTAGCGTTGTAGATAATATATAGAGAACACTTCACGTTAGATACCACAGGAGGTTTTCTCGTTTGCGTAAAATTGTTAATTAAAATGATCTTTTCAATAAAATATCATCGAACTTAATAACAGCTAAAACGTTATTTGATCAAATCAGTGCGCCGGAACATCGTTCATTCACGACGGACGTGTGTGTAGTGACGGGTGACGATGTAGTGCTGACAAACTTTGGCCAAAACCTGTCAATCTTTGGGAAAGTCAACGGTTAAAAGTTGGGAAATCTAGAAGACAACCATCCCACGAATACATCTAGAAAAAGTTTTCTGTCTAGAAACTCAAGAAGTTTGAAGATTAAACAATATTTGTTCTGTGGAAGGCGTGTTACACACAGGCGCGTCATTGGTCGCAGTAAGGTACAGCAGTTCCAAGAAGGATAACTCTAGTCGGAATCCGAGTCAATATGACAAGAATACGTTTCTTTGGAGCAGATGGTCGACTGACAAAGGAGTCATTCGAGATGTTGAAGTGGAATACACCACCATAAAATGGACCTGAGAATAGTGTATGTACAGAATGAAGATTTACTGCATGCGACAAGACTGTGACGTCATGGTGGCCGTCTGAGGCTGAGGATGAGTGGGCAGAGTGGTGGAGTTACAAGGGTTTGACAACAATTTATTGATGGACTGATGTTGTTTCTCCTAAAATTGAAGAGTAACTGTTTATTGATTGAACATTTTGTGCCCGGAATATTGTGCCTGGTTCTATGGCTTGGACGCCGTGGCAGACTCACTTGTCACACTTTCAGGTAACACCTTTAGTCGGTATCTTGCTGCTTCTGTTTCCCCGAATTCAGTTTTAACAGCAAACAGGTTGTAGGAATTCAAGGGCTGTAAAATTCTTATCACTCTTCCTATTAGGTCACCGTCAACTTTAACTATATTGACCTCGATCGGGGTTAGCCTAATGGCGGCCATGTTTGTTTAGAAATGCAAACGATTGTTTTGGGTTGTTTTAATGGTTATTTATTTTAAAAAGACTACTATTTATAGCGCGATTGTATTGCAAAATATTAATGTCTAATAAAAAGACTATTCATATTCTTTCACCTTTATGTTTTCTTTTTTAAATCTCGGAATGTGTGAGTACAGAACGTTCTAATTATCAATGAAACGGTAAAAGTTATCAATGACCTTGGATCATGAAAAGTAGTTCCATCAACCAATCATATTTCTTCTCTGCTTAGCTGACAAATCAACGTTGAGAATCACTTAAAAGCACATGAGCGATTATCACAAAAATAGCCACCTGTGTATCCTAGCCCGTATGGATAATAATAAATTATTGCCAGCGTTTTAAATAAATTACAGCTGTTATTTCTAAATAAATTTTGACATTTTGCATTGACGAAACGAAACCGGTTTAAGAAAGAGGTACAATGTGTGCAGACCATTTGTGGTGTCCCCTGCCGTGATATTGCTTGAATAGTGCTAAAAGCGTCGTAAAACGGTATTTACCCAATCTCCCTCTTAAGAAAAAGGATGCAGAGTAATTGACTTAACAGTTCTTCGTTTGCTTAGAAAAATGATAGGTGAGATACATACAGACTGGGGAATCAGCGAGGAAATGTTTATGACAGTGTAAATACTGTTAGATTTGACCGAAGCTTTCAAGGAGAGCCTGGAATTTAAACCAGATATGATTATCCAATGGAAGCACTTAGTCCGTGGTCAAGCCCGACAGACATTAACCTTGAACGTCACACCTTTTTAGTACAAGTCTATTTTCTGACTAGATCTTCGTTCACCACGTGAGTCAGAACGGTTCATACGTATCATACCATAATATGTATAAATGAACAATAATTCTGAACTACTAATTGTTATTGTTGAATGCATAGTGGCTGACAGAAATTTAAACAAGGGAAACGTATTTGAACAAACTTATTGCTTTTTGTTGCTGTTGTCTTAGCTACTTGAATGTCATCAAGAGATTACAACAGTTAAAACTATGCCAACTGCAACCATTCATCTTTTTGCTGCTAAAGGTTCAAGGCAGGTAACCGTGGAACTCATTTCTGGCACGGTCATGCCGGCGTTCACCGATCAGACGGTCTGTTCGGGGCGCTGATCATCCGGGAACCTCCGTCACGTGACCCGTCCTCCCACCTGTACGACCATGACCTTCCTGAGCACTCCATGATTGTACACGACTGGCTTGTGGAACTGACCATCAACAGGTTCGCCGGCCACCACCACGCCGGTTACGACAACCTACCAGCGTCTATGCTCATCAACGGTGACGTCTTATCTTTGATTAGTCATTACTCTTTAAGCCTGAATCATAGACTGGTGTTTTACGATTTGTGCCACAATCAACATTATTATTATACGCCAGCTTGTTTTGTTTGTTTGGTGTATAACGCCGCATTTAGCAATATTCCAGCTATATGAAGCGGTCTGTAAAACATTGAAACTGGATCTGAAAATCCAGTGATTGACATCATGAACATGAATCTACCCAATTGGAATACGATGACACGTCAACCAAGGCAGCAAATCTGGGTGAGTGAGTGACGTTTTACGCCGCTTTTGCAGTCTAAGTAAACTTAGGCTTTATACTGAGTCTAACAAAAGCTAGTAGAAGGTCGTGTCAGCTAACCTTTGAGCGACCTATGACCGCCCAATCAAACGCGAGACGGCCGAACGGATTTAACCAATCAGACAACGACTACTTGTTAGGGTTCGGCGGGACACACAAAACGGTTTTTGAATTTTCTCTTCCCTGGTCGTTGACACTGACCTATCAACAAACGAAAATCCGCATAAAACACAGATATTTGACCTGCAGTATATACGCTTATGGGTTTCTAATGACATGGTTATATTTTCTCAAGATGACATCCTTGAATATTGACAAAAACATTATTTTCAGCGACTGTTTACTCATTGCGTGTTTCACTCGGCAGCGATCGTGTGGAAAAAAGCATTCGGAATCGTTCGTTTTTTTAGGTAAAGGTTCAAACGGTATGTGCGAATGTTAACTTTCGCGATTTGGTAAGCTGTGTTCTGACTGGTCTGTCCAAAAGGTTATCTGACGCGACCTTCTACAAGGTTTTGTTAGACTCAGTATAGCAGTGTAACGAACAATACTGAGACTATGTTTACTTAGACTGGCCACTTTTGGCAATACTCAGTAATTTCACGGTAGGGTCACCAGAAATGGGATTCACGTATCGTACCCATTAGGGGAATCGAGCCCTAGTTTTCGGCGTGACGAGCGAATGCTTTAACTACCCAACTGCCCCAAGCAAGTCTGACAACAAGATCCCGTTAGTTTGTCTCTTACGACACGTCAGCTTGGTGTGGGAAGAAGATGATGCAGATTGTTGACGCCTTCCACTGCTGAAACACGCCATCATGATGCTGAAAGTCTTCTAATGGCCTGTCTCACACACCTTGAACCACAATGTTGTCCCTTCTGCGCAACACTTTCTGACACGCAAACTTCCCCTAAAACGCAAATTTAGATTCCCATCTCCGAGCTCACTGTGCCTCCTTTCAAATACATGTAGAATTATGTATATATTTCTATCATAGAATGAGTGTGTTTAGTTTTACGCCGCACTCAGCAATATTCCAGCTATATAGCGGCGGTCTGTAAATAATCGAGCCTGGACCAGACAATCCAATGATCAACAACATGAGCATCGATCTGCGCAATTGGGAACCGATGGCATGTGTCAACCAAGTCAGCGAGCCTGACCACCCGATCCCGTTAGTCGCCTCTTACGACACTATCATCTGTTACTGAAGGCCAATAATCTAACCCGGACGTTCACGGGTATATGTTTCTATCAAAGCAACATATTATCAGTAGTAGTAGTAGTAGAGACCACTGACCAAACCCTTCATAAACGGATCGTGGTACTAAATAGGGAAGAATCCCTTAATGATTGCTGTGGGTGGATCCACCTGTGTTTTAATGGATGGGAAAAGGGTGTTGTCAGTTAAAAAAAAAAGCACATGCCTTGTAAAAATCCGGGTTAGAATTGGTCTTCAGCAACCCACGATTTGTTGTAAGAGGCGGCCATTGGGATCGGATGGCCAGGCTCACTGACTTGGTTGACACGTGTCATCGTATCCCGATTTCGTGGATTGATGTTCATGATATAGATCACTGGTTGAGACTCGATTATATACAGACCGCCGCCATATAGCTGAAATGTCGCTGAGTGCGGCGTTAAACAACAAACCAACCATAAATAAGACCAAATCTTGCGGGAATTCCCGATTACACATTGCTCCGAATCAGAATGTATTTGGTGCGAACATGGTGAACTGTGGTTCCTGAGACGATTACGCCACCCGTGTCCTCCAAGGCCATACTGTGTACATCTAACAATTTATGGAGCATAGTATAAACGCACATTAATTCAAGTTATTTGTCATTTGTGTTTTTTATCATATTTTGTCCGTTTTGAAAACTTATTTTGTTTCTTTTTACGACACATTGCTGTAAAATAAGAAAAGGTGAATGGTGAAGGAGCAAGCATACACTCCGAAACGTCGTGTAATTCACAATAAAGAAGTTGACATCCATTAATCTTGCTTTTCTTATGCATTCCATTTCTAAATGCCCTTCAAAGATTTGTTGTAAAGTGTTTATAGATTTAACTTGTTTCACACTTACAAGGATACGTCTTGCCCCATTTACACATTTGTTGAGGCAAAACCCACAAAATGTTCCAGAAGAATTGTCATTTGATCCACGTGTATATGCTTGTTTCCAGGTCGGGGAGCGTTCCGTGAGTTCCAGAGCTCGGACACCAACGAGACCATCTACACCCCATATTCTGTGTTCCATGTCAAGAAGGACCAGAAGTACCGCTTCCGGGTCATCAGTAACGGCATCATGAACTGCCCCATCCAGGTCTCCGTGGACAACCACGACATCATCATGATCGCCACCGATGGTGTGCCACACGAACCTGTCGTTGTCAGCTCCTTCAACATCTTCGCTGGAGAGAGGTACCAAGTTGTGTTATTGAAAGCAGAAGTGTCAAGTGTCGCATAAATAATCACTGACAGTGTGAGTTTGCTTTTACGCCGCTTTTAGCAATATTCCAGCAATATCACGGCGGGTGACATCAGAAATGATCTTCATACATTGTACCCATGTGGGGAATCGAACTCGGGTCTTCGGCATGACGAGCGAACGCTATATAAACAAGGCTACCCCACGCCCCCAATAAATAATTATAACAAACAACAACAACAATAATATTTATAAGGGCAAGAAAATATAACAACAACATATTTATAAGTCCCTGTGGTGGGAATTGATAGGGAATATTCTTTCCTTGCCTGTGTTACCCATGAATGAAGAGCAGAATATTCGCGAATAGCTCCAGCGACTAAGCTGTAAATGCGGCATGAGGCAGGTGAGCTAACTATTAACTATCCTCATTCACCCCCAGTTCCTACAGCAGCAAACCCGAAGTTGCAAATGAACGTTCGCATTGTTCTTCTGAAATAACCCTGATGCACTTGTCGTTAACAACTTCGGTAAAACATTTCTTGATATGTGCTCTGTTTTTAACATTCATATACTTAATGGTCGATGTGGAAGTGACAGAGAAGTTGGAGACTTTACTTGTTTAGGTTCAACTGGCACCAGTGTTATTGACTACATAATTCCTTCATCAACAATATTCGGCTATATTCTAGATTTTAGCACACAAACGAGAATTGAATCTGATCATCTTCCCATTACATTAAAACTAAAAACAGTACAACTTGGGCAATCCAACACTTCTACCAAATGTAGGAATAAGTCGTTTAAGTTGATTTGGGATAACGATAAATTAGAACAGTTTAGAGAAAATATTTTGTCAGATAACGTACAAGAATTATTAGATAAATCGATTGATTGTGCTTTCGTTAATATTGATGATAGTATGAGCTATATGACCGAGGCACTTTGTTTGGTCGCCTCTTGCATGAAGAAAACAGTTAGCCCTCCCACAACGACTAATAAATGGTTTGACTCTGAATGTGAAAGATTAAAATCAGACCGATGTAGATAGAGCTCTGAATAAGTTAAGGAAATCGAAAGATAAAGAATCATACGATCAAAATTGCACTAAAAGAAATAAATATAACTCAATTTGTAAGAAAAAACGCCTTAATTATTATAAAGAGAAGCAGAGAAAACCGTATATATATCTAGAAGACCGTATATCTGATTCAAACAAATTTGGTATGAACTCAAACACCTGAATACTAGACATGAAGCTCAAAACAACATCGAAATGAACGACTGGCTAGAACACTTTTACACAATGAAAATGACGATGTAACATGTGATAATTTCGAGATTGAAAACCCATTAGATCCGAATTCAGAGCTTACCGAGGTAATACTTGATTCCCCAATTACTAGAGGTGAAATCTTAGATAGCATTAACCAATTGAAATGTAATAAATCACCAGGAATTGATAAAACAATATATGCATTTTTTAAATACTCAGCAGATCTTATCGTCCCATACTTAGAATTGCTCTTTAATTTGATATTAGAAAATTGTACGTTTCCCAAATGTTAGGCAATTGGCATAATAGTTCCTATCCATAAACAAGATAATATAATAATTCAAATAATTACAGAGGCATAACATGTACACTACTGAGCATATTTAGTAAAACTTTCACTTCTATAATAAATGAAAGACTTGTAAACTGGGGAGACTCAATGGATAAGATCAGCAAAGCGCAAGCTGGCTTCAGACAGGGATATACGACAGTAGATAATATGTTTATACTACAAAGTATTATTCAAAGGTATTTAAACTCTAAAGGGGGGAAATTCTATGCATTATTCAAAAGTACAACGAAAACAACTTTAGCTTCTATTTAATGCCCACGGTCTCAGTGGTAAAATGAGTAAACTTTTATGCAATATGTATGAAAATGTTAAGGCCTGTATTAAAAGTAATCATACGTTTTCAGAAACATTTGACTTGCAACTTGGTGTAAGACAAGGCTGTATACTAAGCCCATTTCTATTTTCCTTTTTCATAAATGAGTTAACACGACAATTCGAAACTAATTGTGTACACGGGATTCAACTCCACCCTGATATGGTTCATATTTTCCTGTTGCTATTTGCAGATGACATTGTTTTGTTCTCAAGCACGAATAATGGCTTACAGAATCAAATTAATGAACTTGAAAGTTACTGCGATAAATGGAAATTAACTGTAAATAGAGAAAAAACGAAAAATGTTCTATTAAAAAATGGCGGCATATTGTCTAAAAAGGAAAACTGGTTAAATAAAGGTATGAAGCTGGAGTGTATTGGCTTTTATAAATATTTGGGACTATATTTCACCAGTGGCCTGTCATGGACGATGCATGTAAAATATGCAGCGTTACAGGGACAAAAAGCATTAATCGGAATTATTAAACAGTTGAGTGTACTTGGTAATATTAACTACTCTTCATTCTTTAAAAACATTTCATGCCAAAGTCAGTCCAATTTTATCATATGGGGCCGAAATTTGGGGAATAACAAAATTTGACGAAATTGAAAAAATCCATTTATGCAAAATATTCCTCGGAGTTAAAATTAACACTATCAACGCAGTGATGTATGGTGAATGCGGTAGGTATCCAATGCACATTCTTATAAGCATTAAAGTTATTAAGTACTGGCTAAAGTTGTTGATTATGCCTTCACATCGCTTACCCAAGACGTGTTATAATATGATGTTGTTATATAATAAAAGTGGACAAAAAACTGGGCAACTAATGTAAAACATTTTTGTCTATATTCTATTGGTTTTGGAATTACATGGAATACACAATATGTCGAATCACCTACATTTTTCATACAATCCTTAACGACAAGACTAAAATATATGTATATTCAAACATGGTGTGAAAGGATATCCTTATCAAATAAATGCATGTATTATTCACTGTTTAAAAATGCCATAGTCCTTGAGTCATATCTATCCTGTGTTAATGTTAAATTTTTTAGAATAGCACTGGCACGATTCAGATGTTCTTCTAATGATTGATATATGAATGTAACAAGAGAAAATAGATTATGTACACTTTGTAATTTAAACGAAACATTTGTACACGGCACATGCAACATTCTTCATCTTGAACGTGGCGTGAAAAGGGAGCATTGGACATTGGGGAGAAGTTATTGACCATCTCGTGTGTTTGTGGTTTTGACTCAGAGGTCCATCCACCGTACAACCCAGAAATATGTTGAGGGTGTCATGAAAACTGACAATCATATGATTCCTTGTAATAGGCCCATGTACAATCTCAGACGTATCCAAGCCAACAAACCTGACCTTGTGATTAAGTTTTCTGTATCCTGGCGAATACACAGTACCATTTAGAAAGTGGTCGAATGTAACATAAATGATAATTTGGAGTAAAGTACAGGTTCTAGTACTCTTTGGGTTTGAGTTCCATCCGGGAAAAGATGGAGCTCTGTTCTGAGAGTGAGACATCTAATCGCTAGCACCCAGTTATCCGCCTAACCCCTCATCCACATGGTTTCTATAAGAAACTGTAAGTCTGGTTACTTGTAGTCTAGATCGCATCCTTTGTATACCCCCTTGTCAAGTGTAGATTGGCATGGCTCCCCGAGAAAGCTTATGTCCATATTATCTGCCGACCAAAAGGACGTTTAATATGTGTTTCACCAAATTAAAATCAACCACCGTCTTCAAAACGTCTGGGGCGGTTGGGTGGCCTAGTGGTTGAAGCGTTCGTTCGTCACGCCTAAGACCCAGGGTCGACTCCCCACATGGGTACAATGTGTGAAGCCCATTTCTGGTGTCCCCCGCCGTGATATTGCTGGAATATTGCTAAAAGCGGTGTAAAACTCACTCACTCACTCAAAACGTCCAATGCTGAAACCAGTCGCAGAAACAGTCCCAGCTTGAGGTCAAAAACAAAATCATGATACAATATGACAAACTCTATGGGTAACAAGTTCTTATATTTCGTGAGTCCAACATTTTGACAAATTCTTGTAGCATTCTCTCGAAACGTCGCATTCACGAAATACAAGAAGTTGTCCATAAGGTTTGTCAGTATTGTAACCCCACTCACTCACTCAGTATTGTACTATATTGCTAAAAGCGGCGTAAAACCCCACTCACTCACTCACTTAGTAGTGTACTATATTGCTAAAAGCGGCGTAAAACCCCACTCACTCACTCAGTATTGTACTATATTGCTAAAAGCGGCGTAAAACCCCACTCACTCACTCACTGAGTATTGTACTTCCCAACTCAAAGAGTTAAATCATGATACCGTGTCAAATACATCACCATTGAATACCTTTCTCTTGTCTGTTTAATTTCTGCCACCATCAAACGTGTGTAAATGTGTTTTGCCCCTGAGTAAAGGTTCGCTATATCCAAACCTTGTGGGTGCTTGCATGTCATTCAGTGATGTGACCGGACATGTTTTCTAAGTGACACTAAAAGAAAACCCAGAATACTACAGCTATTTGCTAGAAACACTGATCTTCCATCCAGTATATTGTCTGTGTTGCTAGGTTCGACTTCATACTGGACGCTGACAAGGATGTTGCCAACTACTGGATTCGAACTCGAGGTTTGGCAGGCTGCAATAATAAGTTTGCAAAACAGGTCGCCATCTTGCGGTATGAGAACGCCACGGAGACGGAGCCAAGTGAACCTACAGACTACGAAAGTGGGCGGAGGAAAGGCAAGGTAAGAATTGAGGTGATATGCTTGATAGGAGTGGTCGGAGAGGAGGCGATGTAAGCATTAAGGTGAAATGCTTGATAGGAGTGGGCGGAGAGGAGGCGAGTTAAGCACTAAAGTGATATGCTTGATAGGAGTGGGCGGAGAGAAGGCGAGGTAAGCATTAAGGTGAAATGCTTGATAGGAGCGGGCGGAGAGAAGGCGAGGTAAGCATTAAAGTAATATGGTTGATAGGGACGGGCGGAGAGAAGGCGAGGTAAGCATTAAGGTGATATGCTTGATAGGAGCGGGCGGAGAGAAGGCGAGGTAAGCACTAAAGTGATATGCTTGATAGGGGCGGGCGGAGAGAAGGGAGGTAAGCATTAAGGTGATATGCTTGATAGGAGTAGGCGGAGAGAAGGGGAGGTAAGCATTAAGGTGATATGCTTGATAGGAGCGGACGAAGAGAAGGCGAGGAAAGCACTAAAGTGATATGCTTGATAGGGGCGGTCGGAGAGAAGGGAGGTAAGCATTAAGGTGATATGCTTGATAGGGGCGGGCGGAGAGAAGGGAGGTAAGCATTAAGGTGATATGCTTGATAGGAGTGGGCGGAGAGAAGGGAAAGTAAGCATTAAGGTGATATGCTTGATAGGGGCGGGCGGAGAGAAGGGAGGTAAGCATTAAGGTGATATGCTTGATAGGAGTGGGCGGAGAGAAGGAAAGTAAGCATTAAGGTGATATGCTTGATAGGGGCGGGCGGGCGGAGAAGGGAGGTAAGCATTAAAGTGATATGCTTGATAGGAGTGGGCGGAGAGAAGGGAAAGTAAGCATTAAGGTGATATGCTTGATAGGAGTGGGCGGAGAGAAGGGAGGTAAGCACTAAAGTGATTACTTGATAGGGGCGGGCGGAGAGAAGGGAGGTAAGCATTAAGGTGATATGCTTGATAGGGGCGGGCGCAGAGAAGGGAGGTAAGCATTAAGGTGATATGCTTGATTGGAGCGGGCAGAGAGAAGGGAGGTAAGCACTAAAGTGGCATGCATCACAGGAAACAAAATGGTAAAAAGAGTGAGTGAGTGAGTTTGGTTTTACGCCGCACTCAGCAATATCACAGCTATATGGCGGCGGTCTGTAAATAATCGAGTCAGGACCTGACAGTCCAATAATCAACAGCATGAGCATCGAT